GCTTAGGCACCTCAGTTCATTTTTGCTCCTTCTTCATTTTTGCTACAGATTTGATCATTTTTCACTCATTTTACCATTTTTCATCCATTTGATTGTACCTGAAAAAAAAACACACAAATGCATTTTATTAAAGCGTAATATCTCAAAAATAGGTATAAAAATGTATATAAAAAGAATATATATTTTAGGTGTATCAATGAGTCAGTGTTATGGTGGTGATAAAGTTAGTGTTGAGGCTGTGGTGATGATATGTTCATAGATATGGTGGTGGTGTTTGTGATGCGATGGTGGTGTTGTAGATGTTCATGTTTTTTTGTATCTCAATTTTCATAATTTTTTGTTATTTTATTCTTTAAATGTTGGTTGTCCTAATGGGCAAGACGAAAGAATCGTTTTGTCTGCAACTTATGATAAAGAGATACATCAATATTCTGGAAGCTCTGCATTAAGGAGGTTGAATTGGAAAATAAGTCAACCACCTATTTTAACAAGTAAGGTTGACAAAATATAATAAAAATTTTTTAAGGATAACACGGGAAGAAAATATGATAGAAGGCAAATTATAAAAAAAAGAGATCAGTCAAAAAAGAACTAAAAACATGGAAAGATCTAAAGTGAGGATCCACATGCTTGGGTTTGAGATCCTATAAAACGAACCATCGACGCTTCTGAAGAATGGTGGACTGAGATATTGGATTTGAGAATGTTTGAAACATGAACTCATTTAAAATTTTTAAGGTTTCCTTTGAATAATTTAAGTTCTATTAATTGATTAGTAGGTTGCGCCAACTGTGAGAAAATTCAAGTTTAGCGGCACTGACCCTGAGCTTAAAAATAAGTTGGATCATATCTTCCATGGAGTGATGGCCACCAGAGATCAGGCATGAGCACCAAGCAAGAGAGGACACAAAGGAAAATCTAAGAATGTAGATGTGAAGCAATCTGATGGGTCCCCAACCTAAATGAAGTAGGATCTATCAGTCGATACAAATATCCAAGGTAGAGAAAAAGAAAAAAAAATATATGGCATTTCTTTCATTAGAATCCAAATCACTCAATCAGTGGCTTCATGCACAAGTGAGCCTAACGAATCACATACAACTTATATTCAACAGGTTATGATAACTCTTGAAGATACTCTAAAAATTGATGACGACATGTCATTTTACTTGTTCTTCGTGAAGTTGTTAGAAGAACATATTAGGGGAGAGTTTCTTAAGTCCATAAAACTTGACCATAGGATTAATTACTTACGATATTACAAGGACAATCAGAATGTGTTAATTTCATATTATTTGATGGACATCTTTATGTGGGAATTTAACCAAGGACATTATTTATGCTACTTTCATCATGTTTGGATTTTGGGTTTTTATTTTATTTTATTTGGACATCATCATTATAGTTCTTGCAATAATGTTATTTATATGCTACTTTTTAATGTTCAATGCCGTTCTTTCTAATTCATTGTTTATTTTTATGTTCTAGCTCAATAAACAATGACTATGACGAAAAGAGAAAAACACAAGAGAATAATTGTAGCGGCATTATGGTTAATGTACAAATATTACAACTCATAAGTTGTTTGATCCCCTTGCATGACATCTACATACATATGCGATAAGTGGGTTGTGGGGTTGTTTATGGGTCACCCCACAAGGTTTAACAACATGTTCCATATGACAACCTATTTTTATTGATTTATTAAAAGAATTATACATAATTCATTGACTTCATGGCTCATCCAGGATGACTTTAAAAGAGGTGTTAGCCATAAGCATCAATAATTTATCACAAAATGAGTCCATGAGAGGTGTCATGGAACGATTTTAACTCTCATCCAAAATAATTAACATACATTTTTCAGTTGAGCTAAATGCTTTGATTAGCTTATCATAAAAAAATATTGTAATAATAAGGAATTTGCATATGTTCATCTTTCTCTAAATTTGTAATAATTTTAACTCTTATCACAAAATGAGTCCAGTGTTATATGTCATATTTTAAGGTAGTTTCATGTGTTCATCTTTCTCTAAATTTGCATGAGCACAATATCTCTAATATATTTGATAATTGTTTTAGGAATGTGTTAGAGCGATTTAAGGACCACATGTGGATGCACATCTGTCCAACAAAGAAAATATTGCACAACACAAAATGTGATGGTTGTATGTGATATCAGTATGTACTTCACAATATATGATTTCAATATGTGCACAATATGGAAGGAAGTGCACACAACAATCATATTTTCAATTTTGCTACACAAACTCAAAAGTATAACTTTCTAAAGCCACCTCCAGGTTAGCTTTAGTATTAATAATTGAAATTCTAATATCTTATGCAATACTGATGATTAATATTACATCAATAAAAAATTATTTGTTGGACATTGCATATCAATTACAAAGAGGGTATCTCAAACTCTTTCTTAATACCAAATGTCTCTTGATTTTGAGAGAGCTAGTAATGCACTGAAGATACGAAAGAGGTGTTCAATTAGAGACACTCATCTTTATGTGGTATTATTGAAAGGACATTTAAAGTTTGAAAGAAGTAATGAGTCATATTGTAGGATATGTCGACATATCTATTTCCTTAATAAGTGTAGATTGTGGTTGCCACAATGAATCTCCACAACTGTATTCAATGACATCCTTCGCGCAACGACATTAACTTCAATAGGGTATCCCTATTAAAGCATATGAATATCACTTAGGATAATATTTATCACAGCCTGAAAGTGATTTGCCTGAGACTTGCACTCAGGATGGGGAAGTTGCAATGAAGATGATAGAATTGAGGGAACAAATTACAGATGCCATAGTTATAGGCTAAATGGAGGGATTGTTTGTTTTGTTGTTACTACTTTATTTCCAATGTGTTATGAAAATATTTATTATTTATTGTGTTGATGTTCTTATGCAAATGATGTATAATTTGAATCTCAATTTTGTTTTGAGTTCTAATGCATGCATTTTTACCCACTTGGAGGACCGATAAAACAATGGTGGATATAATATATAATCTAAATATTGCATGTTTTATTTTTTTTTGTTTTTGAGGTATATGACGAGATATTTGACCTTGAGGGTTTTCTTGAGTGATCTATATGTTGCTATTGATTCTTGACACATGTGAAATCCTAATGAAGGTAATCGATTTTCTCTCTTTTCTTAGTCCTATGACTTTTGAGGTTCTTCTGGATGGTTTTTTTTTATAATATGCATATATGACACATATGAGCTTGATTTTACATGGTTTCAAGACAAACAAGAATCTTTTTCTTACAATGTCTTTTGTCTTCTTATAGTGACAGCTCGTTGGTTTTTATTATGTTCTTTTATACTTCAAAGTTTCATAAAACTTGAATTGATTACTTCAATTATTTATTTTTATTAATCTTGCATCATAAGTTTTGTTCTGTGTTATTTTAAACCTTCAGAAAAGATGAGCTTAATAACTTTCAGCACCTTAAGAGCATTGTACTGCTACTGTGGACAATAATGTTCATTGTTTACTTTGCAACAACCACATAACTATGAGAAACAATTTTACAGGTGTCCAAGGAGAATAATAGAAAGTTGTAACTTTTCTAGGTGGGCAGATGATTTGGAGAATTCCATCGACAATAGTGATTGGGAGTGAAGAATTTCATTGTAGGATGTCTAATTTTATGAAATAAATAAAATGTATTTTAAAAATAATATTATCATGTTATTAATTATTATTTTAATAGTTATTTTTTAATTTTAATTGTTGTGTACTATTTTATGAGGATTCTATTTTATTTTGTAATATTCAAACTAAATATTTTCTTTTTAAATATGAAATCTGCAAACAGAATTAGCTTTATTATAAACAATAAGCACATAACTGTTTTTTACGTGACAACTTCTAGCCAGAGCAGGTTGGAGCTGCCCTAATTACCAAACAGAGACATGAAGGTCATTTATACAACAACAACTATCACTAATCTATTCTAAATATGCTACAATTATGATAATATGCAGATTATCAGATTATCAAAATAAAATGTTTATCACCGAATTATAAGGGTCTGTTTGGAGCAGTTGCAGCTTATTGAATAATTTGCTGATAAACTGATTAAAAATAATTTTCTGATAAGTAGCTATTACAAATTTTTATTTTTTTTTTGAAAAAGCCTGATCATAGCCAGAAAGTTGTCATCACACCTAGACAGGTGCGGTGTGAAAACGCATAAGCTACCAAAACATAGTTTACTCAAACAGGTCAGGTGCATTTTCAAAACGCCACCGCACCAAATAAGCTGCCCCAAATGGACCCTAAATTATCATCAAATTATATATAATTAAAAGCTACACACAAACCCTAAATTATCATCAGCCCCAGAGTTCAACTCTCAAGGTTGCTAGAGCTCGACTCCACTGGTTTACGACCCTCGCATGTCCCTTTCGTCCAAAATGTTTGCCTTCGTGACCGAACCCTCGTGATACAGTGGCAATTGGAGCTTGCTGGAAAGCAGCGACGGATCGCGGCTTACAGAGCCGGAACTCCCATTTCTCTTCTTCTTCCGCTGCTCTCCTACCCGAAAGCATTGAGGAAGGTAATTTCACGTCTTCTTTTTCGCGCGAAGCGTCCGTCCCGGAGTTACTAAATCCACCGATTCACGGGATTTAGTAAATCCTGGATTTAAGGCCGAAATCGGTGAAATCCGGATGTATCAGTTCCGAGGCTTTATTTTTTTTCAAAAAATGACAGTCTGTGAAGTTTTAGGTTAAATCCAGCTTAAATACTGCTCTAAATCCGTTACCAGAGGCGCTAAATCTTGTTTAAATTTCGGTTAAATCTTGCAATCCAACTGATCTGGCTCTCTCGCGTCATATTTCCCCCAGTCATGGCTACTCGGAGGAAGCTTGCGCCAGCCTCAAAGAAGCCCCAGCAAGTGGAGTACCCGCCGATGGAAACGGCGGTTCGGCTGGCGCCGCCAAAACTGGGGCTGGTCCTAGCCGCCTCCGCCATCTTCTTTATCCCGTTCGCCTATCTTGTCTTAATCCACTACAGCATCGAGGTGGAGTTGAGGCGGTCGATTGCCATTTGCGCTGCTATGAGCATCGCCGGGTTTGTCGTTTCCCTCAGGATGATCCCAGTGGCTGCGCGGTATGTACTGAAAAGAAATATGTTCGGATACGATATCAATAAGAAGGGAACGCCGCAGGGGAACATTAAAGTGTCAGTTTTTATTCTGCCTGGTTTTGCTCTTGTTTGACTCACTTTTCTGATTTAATTTTAGTCATGCAACTTGCGTTAGTAGATCTTCATGTGGTTACTGTAACGTCTCTTTCTTTTTTTTTTCCTTTTTGGTGATGCAATGGAAAACTTTGTCAGCGATAATAAATTTAGCTGGTCTCGGAATTCAGGATTTCATTTTGTAATAAAGGAAGCTGTGATACTTAGATTTCAATTAAGCTATATATTTTTTTCCTGAACCGTGATTATATTTATAGTCGGAATTGCATGAACAAAAGAACATGAATTCTTGAAATACGTCAAAGAAGAAAATCAAGATGACTCAAGTGATTTGAAAAAGGTACAAAAGGAGAGGATAGTAGAGAAGAGGGGAAGTAAATTAATGACAAGTAGTTTCTTGCATTAAAGAGAATTGACAAATGCATACACAATTTTGAGGCGACCTTTTACACAACTCGGATCTAAAGGAATCATTGGAAGCAACTTCATTCACGTAGAAGTGGGTTGGCCAAGAGTCTCATTATGTGGAGTTTTTTTTTTCCTTCATTAAATTCAACACTGAATGCAACAAGATCTCATTGTTTAGACGAGGGCTAATGGATCAAAATCTAAAATAGTTATTAGCAAAGGATAATATTTAAAAAAAATAAATACATTTCAATTTTATTTATGAAAGAAAGCAAAAGTAACCTATAAAACTTATCCTTCTATGGTGGTAATTGATGTCATTATAAATGGTAGAAGAAATAGAATGTTACACAGCTATGAAACAAAAATAAAATTTGTAGAGGAGACTGAAAAGAAATATGAGAGAAATACAAAAGAAAAAGACAAAACGTAGATATTTTGAGGATTGATTTACTTCACTCATATAGGTTGGAACCTATCCATTTACACAAGTTCAATTTTGGGGAAATCCTTGAAAGCAACAATTCTTCTTGAGAATGCTGGTTGAAAAATATAGAATAGGCATAGTTTTAAATCAATAAGACAATTCTCATTGTAATCATTCGGAGGCCTTTTATGGAAAAGAGCTATGAGAATCAATGAATAAAATAACCTTTAATAAACTAAAGATGATCTCTTAGTAGAAAATAAAGAATAATTATTTCAAAGAGATTAAAAATTTATCCATACTAATAAGTATGATGAGGAGCAATTAAACTTAATTTAAAACAAAAAAAAATTAAAAAATAATGAACTAAGCAATTTATGTCTGTAAATTTGGCTTATTTCAATAGTAAGTTGAATTTTGTTATGATCTTTATTGTACTGCATTCATTTAGTTGAACTGTGAAGAAATAATTCAAAAGAGTTTGTGATATCGGAGTTACCCCAAAACATAATAGAAAAAACATATATTATTGTTGAAATTCAAATAAATTACAATGACGACTCTTCAAAATAAGAAATAAATGATACAAAGTATAAAAAGACACTTTAAGGCGACGACGAAAGGGATGGGCGGTGGCTGACCAGCCAGGTTGTTGGAGCTGGATAGCTGTTTTGGACAACAATAAGGACATTTGTTGAAGCTGTGACTTGGAGAAGGGCAGGGGTTGCGTGGGATGTAGGCATGAGACTGGGACGGAGTTGCGTACAGGGTAGTAGCAGCTAGTTGGTTGTGTGGGAAGGTGGCTGATTATAGCAGGAGATGGTGGAGCAAGTTACGTGATGGCAGAAGGGTGTGGGTGGAACTGGAGACGGGTAGGAGAGGGGGCGGCTTAACAAGCTGCATGGGGAAAAAGTAGTGGTAGATGATATGGAGCCGGCAACAGGGTTTGCGGCAGAGAACCGGGTGGAGAGTGCGGGTAAGCTATAGGAGGCAGGGAGGTGGAATGCTGACGGCTGAAAAACCAGGGAAAGAGTGGAAGAGTGACTGCAAAGGGGGGGTTGGGGAAGGTAAGTATCCCTGCGGGATCGGGTTACATTTGGAGCACCCCTCGAACCTTTGGAGAAGATCACCACGTCGGACGGGTTACAACCGGAGCACCTTCTCGCATTTGGATACATCTCTAGAAGGGAAAACAACCTCCGATGAAAAGCTGGATAGAAATTTGGAATCAAAATGATCGAAAATGCAACCCTATAGAGTAGCACATATATTTATAATAAGTAAAACAAAATGGGAGGGGCAAAGGGTGGCAAATCTTGTTTCATTAAAGTGCTGGCCAGTCCTACCTCTCTGCTGGACCAACACTCATCTGCTGCATTGATTGGTCCAGCCCTGAGCCCCGCATCAGTCTCCCAATGTTGGGGGAGTTTCAATTTCATTTGACGAAACTCTGGTTCGTTGTAGCACGAAGTTAAGGCTATCACATTGAAGGTAGCATAGATATTGTAATCTCCTAGTAGGTCGATCATTTAGGTGTTGTCAGCCCACAACACACCTTGATAAAATAAGGGCCTGTTTATGGCAGCTTATAGCCGTTTGGATCACACGTTTGATCTGCATTTTTAAAAACCTCATTTTATATTTCTACTACACGCGAGCCGTGGGCTTCATGCCGTGGTCGGCGTTTCGTTCGCGTAATTAATGGATTATTCCACCCGTACCCTTAATCCGGTTTCAAACTCTTTCTTTCCGCACTCGCCTCTTTGGTCGCTTGCTCGCTCGTCGCTGTCTCATAAGAAGTTCCCTTTCCGTTTCCTTCAGTAGCTAGCAGAGTTAGCTCTGTTCATTTTTGCCAGGAGATTCAACCCTCTGAAATGGTAAACGATCGCTATTTCTCAAAATTTGTTTTTTTTTTGATTCTGCGGAAACAAATGTGCAGCAAGACGGAAGCAAATTTGGTTTCTCTGTGAATAAAGCTTTTAAGGAACAAGAGAGAGGTGCAACTGAGGCAGATGCAGTGCGATATTGTTGTGCTTCTCCAGTCAGGTCAGGAGGACGCTGCCCGGATACGGGTACTGCGTTCCCATCTTGCTTTTTTTTTTGCTTTTTTTTTTGTTCTAGTTGTCATTTTTTTTTTCAGTTTTATGATTTTGATCTCTGCAACCTGCAAACGACCGATTTTTTCTTAACTGTCATAAAATCTGTATTTCGTGGATAGGGTTCAGCTTTGTCTAGGATCACAGCGAAATTTCTATTCCAATGGGTTATAGTCTTTTGTAGAAATTTTTGCTATGATGTTTGTTGGAGAAGTGATTTACAAAAACCTTCTTCGATTCAAATGCAGTCACTGTTGTTATTTGAGTGACTTTCTTCTTTTATTATGTGTCTCTAGCTGTTCAAGTTTGTAACTTTTTAAACCTGCAAATCAGCTTTTCTCAAAACGCACAAATCAAACAACTTATTCAAAACAGGGGCAGAATGATCTTTTATCCAGAATCAACTGTTTTCCAAACGCATAAATCAAACAGTCAAACAACTTATCCGAATCAGCTGCTGATCAGCAGCTTATCAAGATAAACAACTTATTTGAATAAGTCAGATAAGCTGCAGCTGCCACGAACAAACTCTAAATATGCATTCTCTCTTAACACATCATGAGCTGGAGTTGCATATAAATGTAGGCCTCCTAATATAAATCTTGAGCCCTTTAATCTGAAATATTTTTTTTCCACTTCTCGTACTCAACATAATTTAACTGATAAATCAATATGTGAGGAAAAATCAACTATGCGAGAAAACTTGTGTCAGACTGCACCACTTTCACTAGCAACCACTCAAGAGAGATCTTCTCTTCACTGATATGACCTAAATCCCATTGACAAATTTCTTATCCCATCAAGTTTTTAAGATAAATTTCAATGCTGGGATTTGTTTGGATATTTGACGATGGGTACCATGCTGAACTGATTCTAACATCTGAATAACTCAATGTAATCTTTCAGACATGGCATAAAAGGGTCTCATTTTTGACGTGCAGGACCTTCCTCTGTAGGGGCAACTCAGGAATAAGTCCATAGATCTAAACGGTTTGAATTTCTCTCATATGGGGTTGCAATGCATTTGGAGTTGTTCCTCAAGCTCAAGACTGCCTTGGACACTTACCGTGAAGTCAGGTGTAGTCTTTTCCACGGGCTTAGATGGAACTATGTGCATTTTTCCCTTCTTAATTTGTAAGCTGGTTCTCTTTCTTTGTGTCATCATCTTCTTCAGTTTCTACTATGTCATTACCCAATTTTTCAACAACCCCTTGCTCAGTGAAACAATTCACTCTCTGGCTGTGTATTATGATTCAACATGTCCAAATCCGTGACACTTGCAACACTTTGTTGCTGTTACGGATTTAGGGATGCGGATTATTTCCACATGTTCTCCAATTTGAATCAGCTTTTCCTCTGATGGGGTCGTCTTGGGTGTTCTCCTAGGTTTACTCTGGCTATAAGATTCTGAGGTTGAACTTTAGATGTGGTGGTTATTCGGTGATGTGGTCCCTCCACTTTTGAAGCTAAAGTCTGAACATTCTGTCGATAGTAAGTTGGTAGTAACTGGCACTGCATCTACTGCTTCATCTTTAAATTCTCCCATCCCATTCTCCTCTTAAACTCTCCAAATCCTAGGTGAGGGTAATCTCCCTCTGGGTTATCTTATCAATTTCCGCAAGCCTCTGTTGAAGAAGATGGAGCTCTTGCAGTATCTTCTACCCGATAGACTCAGACATGTATCTCATTTGTTGCATGGTTAGGGTTTTGGGTTGGGAGGTGAAAGTTGTAAAAATTGATTTTGAAATCAGTAAAAGGAAATTAGGGTTAGGACAAATTTTTGCTATGGTTTGGGAATAGGAAAGAAAATTTTTGCTTAAAGTTGATGCTATGAAACTTTAGGATAGGAGTAGGGTTAGATTAGCTCTGATACCAATTGATACTAGAGTTAACCTAAGAAACAAAAGAAAAAATATATATTACTATTGAAATTCATATAGGTTACAACGACCACTCTTCAAACCATTAAATAAATGATAATAAGCATAAAAAAGCACTTTAGGGTGACAACGAATGGGATGGGTGGCAGCTGGCCCGCCGGGAGGTGGATTGCGGTTTTGGACAACAGTAAGGCCATGTGTTGCGGTTGTAGCTAGGAACAGAGTAGGGGCTTGTGTGGGCTGTAGGCTTGATACTGGGACGGAGTTGCGTGCACGGTAATACAATAGCAAGGTGGTCGTATGGGAAGGTGGCCAGTTGGAGCAGGAGATTGTGGAGCAGGTTACAAGGGTGTGGGTGGAACTGGACACAAATGGAAGAGGGGGCGGATCAACATGCAGGATGGTGAAAGAGTAGCGGTAGATGATATGGAGTTGGAAACATGTTTTGTGGCAGTGAAGCAGGTAGAGAGTGCGGGTAAGCTATAGGCGACAGGAAGGTGGAGTGCTGGCGGTTGGAAAACCAGGGAAAGATTGACTGCGGAGAGGGAGTTTAGGAAGATAAGTATCCTCCCATGATGGAGTTATAGTCGGAGTACCCCTTGAACTTTGGAGAAGATCATCACCTCGAATGAGTTATAGTTGGAGCATCTCATCGCCTTCAGATATAGCTCTAGAAGCGTAAGCAACCGCTGACGACAAGCTGGACATAAATTTGGAGTCAAAAAGATCAAAACTACAATCCTGGATAGTAGCACATATATTTATAATAAGCAAAATAGGGTGGGAGAGGGAAAGGGCGGCAGATCCCGCCCCATTAGAAGGCTGGTCGGTCGAGTCTCCCTGTTGGACCGTCACTCACTTGCTAGACCGACCGGTCTAGTGCTCAACCCTGCGTCAGTTTGGGTCGAGACTATAGTGAAGGGGCTGTTTGGATTAGCTAGAGAATAACTTATAATAGTTAGATGTTGATTTTAATGCTAACAGATAGAAATAAATTTGCGGGCTTTCAAGAAAGGCATATCTAGCGATTATGCATATGGCAAACATTAATATCCTTAATAGGGAAATAGATTGAAGAGTTTTTTAATTTTCTTTATTGTTATTTACTTGTGAAAAGACATTTATTTAGAAATGAAAGGTGAAATAAAAATGAAAACTAGATATTCTGTGTTATGGCATTTTCCACCCTTGGAGATATTTTTAATCCTTTACCTACCATTCTTGCTTTCCAATCCTTTCAGCTACTCACATAAATGTATTAATTGCTTCTCTGTTTATGAAGGAAGGCTTTCTTCACTTCCATTTTCTGCAGTATTCTTGATTTGCTTTTTGGTTTAGGATTTAAGAGTAGGCTGTAATAGAATAAGAGCAATATACAGATCAGTGTTGGTAATAAGGATCTTGATCTACTAGTACCATTCATGGCTTGTTAGCATCACTTGTTAGAAATTCTTCCAAAAAGAGTATTGGTTTGAGTACGCTTTGCCTAGAATACTGTTAAAATTCAGTTATTAAACAAATCAGTAGATTTATCAAAGTACAAGATTCACACATCCTATCATAGAATTGTGATACATAATAAGCATATAAATGTTTCTATGATTAAGGAAAGTGTATAGGAGTTGTTAATATTGGCGTTCGATGGGAATCATAATGAGAATAAACCAATTCAAAGCATTACTCATTATTTCTAGGATAATTTATGATGAGGAACATTGCCAGAATTAAGATTATTATATTTAAAACATATATAATTGCCTTGTTTATACATGAATGCCCATCTAAATCTAACGATATAGCTGTATTATCATATGGAGTAGACAAAATAAAATCAATATCCGAGCGTTGATGCATCAAAAGTATTTATGTTTTTCTTAGTATCATGCTTATGCTCAATCTTTTGAGATTATGCTGATTTACTGGATTGAGGTTATCTTAATTTTACTACTTTTCCAGGATAAAGTTCCCTAATTTTGTTCTATTCATTACATTGTTGTGCAAGGAAGGTTTGACTATATGTACTAATAACAATAGTTTGCATTTCAATTTTATGATTTAGTTGACAAATTTAAATAAATATAATATCCATGAGAGTGACTTTTTCTCATGGTGTCTATTTGTTTCTTTAACCTAGATTCATGAGATTAGTGTTCAAGTTTTTTAAAGCATAGTTATTAACAATTTTCTCAAATTTGTAATCACTATTATAAGTTTCTTCCAATGATTCATGATAGTATTATTTGATCCAATTCTAACATCAAATCTGAATCCATTAAAAAAAAAAATCGAAGTTCATTACTATTATCTGAAGGCTTATCATATATTTGAGCTACCTAACATCAAAAGATACAATGAAGGTACTAATAAATAGAATAATATTTCTTTTGTAAGGTTCTGGAAGTCATTTAATAAATGTTTTTGATTGGTAGTTGTGTTTAACTGAAAGTTTCATGTGTTTCCACATGGGTAGGCAAATTTTCAAATGGTTTGATCTTAAACTCGATTAGTTTTCAAAATTAACTTAGACCTAACAAATTTTCTCTTTTTTTATATTTAGATATGAAGTAACAACTAATATAATTTTCTAGGTCATTTAACCAATCGATAAATAGGTGAGGATGTTTAGGTGTGATATGATCTTCATGAATGCAATAGTTATTGAATCATGCTTTTTATAAGTTATGCCCATTATATTGATATATGATGTGATTCCCACTAGTAATGCCAGCATGTAGTTTATGATGCAGCAAATTTTATTGATAACAAAGTAATTGCAGACCAATAAAACTAATCAAGCTTTTGTTATAAACGTCTAATCATTGGTGGTTAACTATGAAAGGATCAACTTTGAGATCACAATATTTTGTATACAAATATGGCGGAGTTTATGGTTTAAAGATTTTGCCTTTTTCTTAATTTTATCATTCAAAGCTGCACTCAAAATCCCTTTACAGCATAGCAAACAATCAATTCAAAACTGTTCTTCAAATTTCCTTTTTGTAGTGATTTGAAACCTTAATGTATATCTTGGTTTAACAGCAATTACAAAATGGTGCCAACAAATAGAAAATTTATGGTTGCAGGAGCGATGTACCTATTGTTTCTTGAATATATCTTAGATTTAGACTATATAGATGGTCATGGTTTGGAAAGAGTAGGAGAAATCTGAGTTTTTGGTGGTTGTCTAGGGTTAGTTTGGGTTATTAAGGGCTGTTAGGATAGGGTTTGTTTTGGATTGATTGGATTTGTTTGAATTTTGTTGAGGATTGATAATGTTTGTTAGTTTTATCCCAAAACTGAGGGGAGGTCAAATTTATTTTCTTGGTCTGGTCGTAGTTTGCTAGAACTCCTAAATATAAGTAGGAATTTAAGGATTTGTTACAACCAACATTGACTAGTCCTGTAGTTTTGGTGCACTTTCTCACAACTCCAGTTAAGGTTGTAGCAACGAATGTCGAAGACGTCCCAAACTCCTAGTGGGTTAAAAAATAAATTCAGTACCAATGCACCAGGATTCATGGGAAGTGTGAGAATTAATTAATGTTGGCATTTGATGCTCGAAAATACCAAATTGATGCTTATGGGTGAGGTGATAAGTATATGGATATTGGGAAATCATTTGAAGCAAAAATGTGAAGAGGGTGGAGATTAAACCAAGAGGGATGAAGATTAGAGAAAGTTAGCACCTTATACGAAAGAGAACTGAGAGAGCTACATACACATCCACAGACTAGAGCTAGCCGGCATTGGGCATAGAATGTAATTCGTGATTGTTTTTTTATTTTTTGCAAATCAGCTCTATATATGATGGTTGGGAAAGTAAAAAAAAATTCAAATTGACCCATCAATGTGAATTTATATTTTCCTCATTATTAATGTTATTTTCCATCCGACATTTTTTCAAGATATTTGTCTGACTATTATTTTTTTTTTTCTACTTTTCAGGCCTGAATCATTGGGCATTGTCATTGGAATTGTCTATTTGGTCATTGCTATTTTGTTTCAGCATTTCAATTTTACAGCGGACTCAAATGTATGTTTGTGTAGCCTAATGCTCTATTCATGTTGCTGACACTCTGCAATTGTTGTTTTTATAGGCTTTTACATTTTTTCCTTGTCACTTTTCACATTCAGCCTGATGAGTTTATTAATGTTAGCATTAATTTCATTCCTATTTATTGTTTTTTTGGAGTAACTTCCATTGTCAATTTTAGAGCATTCAGCCTATTAATTGGTTGATATATATTAGATACAGCAAATTAGGGGTTTGAAGAAGTTTCATTCCTTCATTCTCATTTTATGGCTTTTAAAGCTGACAAAAAGATAATGAATTATTTAGGTTCGAGTTGAGCTTACTGTTGGAATTGCTTTAAAGATTACTGACCATGATTTTTATCTGTTTTGCAGTGGCTCGTTGAATACAATGCAGCGCTGGCATGCATTTGCTTTATGACTTTGCTTGGATTTGTTGATGATGTTCTTGATGTTCCCTGGAGATTGTAAGTACCTCCCTGATGAAGTGAATGTCCACAAGGCGTTGTGAGCATGGGAGAGAAGAGAAGACTCTCCTATCTCACTCCAGTGGAAATGCTATTTCTTTTCTCACTAGATTTTCTTCATTCAACATCACAAAAGAAACCATGATTGTCATACAGGACTGATTTAATATGAATAAATTAATTCTTTGAAAAGAGTAAAGCAACAAAATAGTCCTCTGATTGTTTACAGAGGGAAATTTTAGTCCCCGAGTCTATAAAAGTACCAAATTAGTCCCCAAATCCTTTTTAAATTGGGGCCGAAATAGTCCTCTTTGGAGACTATTTCAGCCCATATTAAAAGAGTTAGAGGACTAAATTGAGATTTTATAGACTCTGGAACTAAAATAGCCTTGCGCAAAATGCCAGGGGACTATTTTGACAATTTAATTGCAATGTCATAAATAGTATTACATTGCACTTATTATGATAATCATTAATAACATATTGAAGGCCCACTTGCAACAAATAATGATAATAAACTTTGGTGCTTTGTTTAGTTCTAGTTTCTGAGATCAAAATCAATGGCGTTGATTTGGATTATGAAAGCCATAAATATATTTTCACTGGGAAGAAATGGCAGGATAAAATCAAATTTTCATTTTCACTCACATTGAACTCTCTTTGTACGTATGGTGGGGATCATTTGCGGCCTATTTTAATAAGGTTCTTCTGATGTATTTTAAAATTTGAAAATTTCAAAACTTTTTTACTATAGTTTTATAATTTTTTGACAAACAGAAAATTGGTGCTTCCATCATTTGCAGCACTTCCATTGTTGATGGCATATGCTGGACATACATCAATAATCATACCAAAGCCTTTGATTCAGTATGTTGGTGTAGCAGTCTTGGATTTAGGTATGCTAAGTTTATGAACTTACACATCCAAAAGGCTACAATGACTAACATATTTGTTTTTAACCTTAATTGCCTTACATATTAATGTATTTTATTAGAGAGGTCAATATCTTTTTTTATATTGTTGAATGTCAGGCTGGATATACAAGCTCTACATGGGAATGCTGGCAGTTTTCTGCACAAATTCCATCAATATACATGCAGGTCTCAATGGCCTTGAAGCGGGACAAACTGTTGTTATTTCTGCAGCAGTAAGAAAAGAGGCCTTGTGTGCATTTGTTGTTGTTTTTCTTTCTGATATTTTTACCACTTGGCATCCTAGAAATGATATTATAGAGATTAATTTATCCATTTTATTGCAGATTCTTATACACAATGTGATGCAAATTGGTGCATCTTCAGATCTTGAATACAAGCAAGCTCATGCATTTTCCATTTACTTAGTTCTTCCCCTGTTGACTACTTCATTAGCTTTGCTTTCATACAACTGGTAATGATTAATTGGCAGATCGTTTTGATGCTACTAATAATCATTTCCATGATGTATTTGTTAATGAATCTAGTTCATTTACTTCTATTCAGGTATCCTTCTTCAGTATTTGTTGGTGACACATATACCTACTTTGCTGGAATGGCCATGGCTGTAGTTGGTATACTTGGTCATTTCAGGTTAGCATCTTTTTCTGTTGTGTTTCTTAATGTGCTGCTGATATATTAAGTTTTATTGCGCCATATTGTTCGATTAAGACTTCACCTTTCTTTTTCTAGATTTATTTTACTTGGTGTCAACTGAAATTAGGCTTGTGCAAAATAGGTTTAACATTTCAAGCAACATTAATCAGTAATAAAATTATTAGGATTCATAAAGCTGTTATGATAATTTACCAGAGAATGGAGAACTGGAAATAGCTTGCTGGCTTGGTAGAGAAGAACTGGTTATGTATCCATATTTCTATCAACTTTACGAATGTATTGGATTTACGAGAGTGTTTATGGACAAACACGTGAAAAGTGGTCTAATAATCGATGTTGGAGTGAATGCTTTGTGGACTTCACTAAACTTTAGATGTATTGCTTTGGAAGCAAATGGTATCCTAGGCTCCTTTTGGTGACATGAATAAATTGATACTGGCATATCTATATGGACTTCATTTTTTAGTTTATTTTTATTTTAAGAAGCTCACACTTTAAAGGTTTATGGAGCTTTGGTTCACGACCAAATAGTAGTGATTCATGCTTTTAATGTAGGAGCTTCTTTTTTAGCCATTTTCTTATTCATTGTTAAAATAGTTTTGTATTTATTATCTTTTAGCCATTTTCTTATCCTAGTCTTCTTTTGGTGACGTGAATAGATCGGTGCTAGAATCTCGTTGCACATAGGAATAAGTGGTTCATGGTTAGTTTATCTTCCTAGAATTTAGAATTTTATCTCAACCCAATGCCTTTCTTTCTTATGAAGTCTTGTTTTCACTCTATGCCGTGGGAAGCCCTTTTATGCATACTGTAATTTTTTGGAGGAGAAAAATAATTATTCCTCTTCAATTTCTTAAGACTCGATTATAAGATAAATAGCATGGCAAGACCATCATATTAGGAAAGCCACAAAATCCGCACGCTAGAAAAAAGAAATAGAAATTACCAACAATAGCTAATTTTAAAAGTAGAAACTACTAAGAGTAGAAAATTATAAAAATAGAAGATATCAAAAGTGAAAATTTCTAAAATTCCACGCCCTCTCAAGCTAGAGCATAGATATTTATTATGCCCAACCTGCTTACAAACAACTCAAAATTAGGTCTGACAAGTCCTTTGGTGCTGATATTTACTATTTGTTGTGCTGTTGGAGTGAAAGACATGCAAATATCTCCTCAATCAATCTCTCTTTTATGAAGTATTTATTAATCTCCACATTTTTTTGTGATTATGTTGCACGGGATTTTTTACAATCTTTATGATAGCTTTATCGTCATTGTACAACTTTATTAGCTTGTTTATCAGGATACATAGCTCTTAAAGAATTCCCTTTAGCCATAACATCTCACATACACCATTAGCCATAGTTTGATATTCTGTCTCGACGCTACTCCTTGCCACCACATTCAGTTTTTTACTTCGCCATGTAATCAAATTTCCCCAGACATAAGTACAGTATTTGAACGTTGACTCCTGTCAACAACTGAGCCTGCTCGATCTGCATCTGTGTATGCCTCTATGTTCGGTTGTGTTGTCTTCTGAAAGAGTAAACTATTACCTGATATACTTTTTAGGTATCTGAGAATCCTGTTAACTACTTCAATGTGTTTCTCAGAGGGTGAATGCATAACTTGACTTACTAAACTTACAACAAATGCGATATCTGGACTTGTATGTGATAAGCATATCAAAATTCCCACCAACTTTTCATATTGAGCTATATTCACTGGGTTACCTTCTTTCTCATCTCTTAGTTTCAATTGTGTTCAATTGGATTGTCTACAGGCCCACAACCACTCCCAGTTTCCTTTAGAAGATCAAAAATATATTTATGTTGGGGAACAACAATCGTTTTCCGCCTTTCTTTGATCTAGCAACCTCTATTTCAAAGAAGTGCCTTAGAGATCCTAAGTCATCTCCAGTGTTGATTATATTGTCTACATACACAATCAGTATGACTATTTTCCAATCATTTGAATGTGTGAAGAATATTATACGATCTCCTTGCCCTTGAGTGCACCTTTGATATTTAACAAACATTATACATTTCTCAAACCATGTTCTCAGTGATTACTTCAACCTGTATAAAAATTATTTTAGTTTACACACTTTTGTGCCGAATTTTTCACTAAATTCAAACATGCTCTCGGTGACTACTTCAACCTGTATAAGAATATATCTAAGTAATTAGTGCAATAGGTTTGAGTGAATTTCTTGGCAATCAATCGAGCTTTGTAGCGTTTTAGAGAGCCATTAAAATTATACTTAACTTTAAACACCCATTTCATTTGACAGTTTATTTCCTCTAGGTAGATCAACAAATTCTCACATTTTTTTTTTTCAGAGCTTCATCTCCTCAAAGATAGCTTAGGAACTTTAAGAGCATCCTGTACAAATATTAAGAATCTCCTTATAAGAAAAATGTGTGGTAAAAACCCAAAAAATGAGAGATTTTCATATGATACATAATTAGACAATGGATGTTGGGTGCAAGACCTCACCGTCTTACAAGTAGCAATGGGATAACTGAAATCATTAGATTTAGGATTAAGGGTAGAGTCATGTTTAGGACTAGAAAACTTATAACATTAAGATGAAGTGGACCGATCATGGGGTAAAGACTCAATGAGGATATTACCTGGAGGATTCATGGAGTTTAGGCAATGCAAATGATTTGTGTATTCTTTCTTTTTAGTTGTCATTCGTCGCGAGTATGTAACAATGTTGTATTTCTTTTTCCTGTTTTCTTTTTCTTAGTAGTTCTGGATTATGAACATCATAAGATGGTATTGTAGGAAGATCTGAACCGTTTTTATTATATAAAAAAAAAATTGAACTACTTTCTTCTAATAGAATATAACTTGGATTTTCAGATTGAACAATCAAGGTTTGAAATATATTATTTTGTGAGTCTTTAGTTTGAAGAAAGTCTTGAAAATTAGTAGTCGAATCTTTTTTTGGCCCCTTATCCCTGGAAGATGAGGTGAAAATGGGTTGTAGTTCAAAAAAATGTGATATACAGGAAAACAAATATTTTTTTAGAAGTATGATCAAAACATTTATACCTTCTTTGGGTGGGAGCACAACCAACAAATACACATTTTATGGCTCGGGGTTTAAGTATTCCTTGGTTATGACTATAAATGTAAACAAATGCAATACACCAAAATATCTTTAAATGTATAAGAAGATGAAAGTTGATTTGTTGGGTAAATTTTATGAAAAATATCATGTGTATCAAAGTTCAAAATTTTATTGGGTGTTCTATTATTGAGGAATGTAACAATAAGAACGACTTCACCCCAAAGATATTTTGGCACCTAATTTATAAATAATAATGCCCGAGCTATATTTAATAACTATTTGTTGTTTCTTTTAGCTACACCATTTTGTTGTGGGGTGTCGACATAAGATTTTTGATAAACTATCATTTTTGCAAAAAAATTACCCAAAATATTTTTGAATCACTTTCGACCATTACCACTCTGTAATATTTGAATAAATTTTTGAAATTGTATTTGTACATGTAAAAAATTTTAAAAATTATTTTCACTTCAGATTAATTTTTCATTAAATGCACCCGAGTTAATATTTTGCCATCATCAAAAAAAGGTAACAAACCATTTTTTTCAGGGTATGTAAGATGTTTACAAGGATCCCAAATATTACTATGAATCAGAGTAAGATGTATAGTTGGTTTATAGATTTTTGAAGGAGAAGACACGATGATGTTTGACAAACTATTAGACTTCACACTGGAAAGATGACAAATTTTTATTTTGAAATAAACGGGAAACAATAATTTAATCACTAGAAACTATGATGACCTAATCTATAATATCATAGCATAATTTCATTGTCTTTGAAAAAAAATCAGAATTTAAACAAATACTTTTATCTTGTTCATTCACATCAAGTCCACCAAAATAATAGAATTCATTATTTTCGTTAGCACTGTTAATATCCTTCAAGTGGACAATTTCTGAAACTCAAAATAATAAAAGTAGAAATTAGCTTGACATTGAAAATCAGAAATAATTTTACTAATGGATAATAGATTACAAAATAAATCGGGAACAAGAAGCATATCACAAGGGGTTAACAACGAGGTGAGTTTGAAAGTTTCTATCCCAACAATTATTGAGAGGAAAATATCGCAATTTTGACTCTTTTATTACCTCCACAAGATCTATAAGATGAGAATAATTTAGAACAACCAATCATATGATTAGTTGCATCAGAATCAATTATTCACGAATGAATAAAATTTGGGTGAGCACCTAGTGATACAATGGCTAGAAATTTGCCCTTCTTCATGTTTAGATTTTGGAGTCAGTTACACTTTGGAGATCGAACAACTTGTGCTAGTTCTCTAATTGCTCCTTGGTGAAAGGTATTGTATTTGAGTTGGTAGAGCGCTCTTGAGTTTCATCAGTAGTTGCTTGATAGGTCCAACCTTCATGTTTACATTTTGGTCTCCAATTTGCAGGTTTATCATGAAGCTTGCAACACGTCTCCTTCGTATGCCATGATTTTTTGTAATGCTCGTATCACCATGTGTAGGGCGAATTAGTTTTGGAATTACTAGAAATAGTATAAATTGTAGAACTTCTTTGGGCGCCGATCATCCCCGACTTGTATGACATTATCGGAGGAGAGAAGAGGATTAGTTTGAAAATCTGAATCGATTTCGATTGCGAGTTATTTCAGCGTTTAATGTTGAGTAAAGGCATTGGTGGCTCCAACGGAGAAGAGACTACAGGGGATGAAACAGATTGAGTATTTGATGGCCCTACTTTCGATCCAGTTTGATTCTCCGATTCACGACACTCGGGAATGGAGCCATCTCTGTGAAAAGAAGATGTCCCCTTTTCTTCAAATTACAAATTCCATTGATTCTGATAAAAAAAAACCAACAAAGAAGCCCGTCAATGAGAAGCTCGTCGTAAAAAAAATGATAGAAGAGAAAGAAAAGA